TGTGTTTTAGATATTTTTTCAAACACATTTTATTTATTTATTTATTTATTTATTAAAACTAATACAGTCAACTATAGTCAAATTTTTAAAGTTAATTATATTTGATTTTCCATGGCATTTACCGAGGTGAAGCCATACATAAGAAAATACCTTTTGTAGCTTTTTCCCTTTGCATCTAGTGTTCCAATTTTCCAAAAATACCCTTAAGGTGAAGACCTAACTAGCACCTATGTTTGTAATGTTGGACAGGTATTTGGAGCAGAATATGTGTCATTGCATGTTAGGAAAGGCAACAGGGCAGCATTCAAGTTGTACACGGAGACATTAGGGTACAAGATTCATGATGTAGAAGCAAAATACTATGCAGATGGTGAAGATGCTTATGATATGAGGAAATCATTGAAAGGTAAGAAGCAGCCCAAAAACCAGCACCACCACCATCATGCCGGAGGGGGGTGTTGCTCTGGGGAAGTGAAATCAGATGGAAAGGATGGTGTGACAGAAGGGAGTGACCATTGATAGGATAGGTGTGTAGCTTACCGATTTTCATTTTTCTTTCTAAAATCCACTTCTTGCACGTTTATGCTCTTTCCTTTACACCCACCAATTGTCATCAATCTTAAATGTATCTTCATATCCCATTCTATGTGTGTCTTTCATATATATACAATAATAATACGAAGTAAGAATTAATTACATATTTATGATTTTATGTGCCTGCCAGGCTGCCCGTATGGCAACCCTACTTCAGCAGCTATTTATTTTGTTGATTTAATGCCATACTTGTGGCAACAGATAAACATATGAATTGAATGTGATATATCAACTTCACAGTTTTTGCAGTGCAAGTCATTTGATTATAAAGTGGGACTTGACATTTTGAATTATCACATATTCACATTTAGGGATGGCAATGGGGCGGTTCGGGAACAGTTTTACATATAGCTGTACCTGCCCCATTTGATAATTCCCCGCCCCATTACCCAACGGGTAATTTTTACCCAAATCGTATCCGCCCCAACGGGTAACGGGTATAACCGCGGGTAACCGTGGGTAATCGCTTTATTAAATGAGTCATTGATATTTTAATATAAAAATAATATTTTAAAAGGCGAAAAAATGGCATCACCTAGATAACTCTAGAATGAGACGCCCCTGTAAAGTTTCGTATATCTACAAGACGAGAAAGAAGACAACATAAATTAATTTGAACCTAAAAAACTTAATCTGAAAAAATAATTATTCACTAAAAATCTGATAATAATCAAACAAGACTATTAAGATCTATTATGAACTCTCATGGAAACATTATAGTTAGTACATCTATTATCCATATACTCAATGAAAATAGAAAAATCTCATCTTCTATTACTCATGGGACAAATAATAGATAAAAATGTAATAAAAATATAACTAAAATAAACGGGGCGGGTAATGGGGCGGGCATGTATAAAACCGTAACCGCCCCGTTACCCGTAAAAACAAAACGGGTATTCCCCGCCTCATACCCGTTAACCGGTCAATGAGGTTTTCCCCGTTTTGACCGGGGCGGTTCGGTGCGGGTATCCATTGGATCGGTCACAATTGCCATCTCTATTCACATTGGTTTTGAAATCTGGGGATTATTAACAAAAAAAACTACTTGAGGTGTTTTCAATTGAATTCATAGTATACCACTAAACCGTAGCCATTTCCTAAACTATAGCGACCCTTCCCCTGTCCCACCCAAGCTGAATACTCGATAAAATAGGTTTACTCATTGGAAATGGTAATGTGGACTATGATACTCCGTAAAGTTTAGCATAATACTCCACTTTCCCCTTTTGGAAAGTTTTTTGTGGCTATAATTCATTTACCTTTTTCTTACTCAACCACAACCATACATTTCCACTTTATTCCCACTTTTTTAAACTCTGTTTCAAGTCAACGCGGGAACAATTTTCCAGGACGGGGAGTACTAATTAAGTACTATTGTAAACCCAAAATTACTTACAAGAATTGACGATAATAATGAAATTTTAAGTGTGGGATCAAACAGTCTAGACAGACATAGAGAACGGCAAAGAAGCCCAATCCTTGTAAGAGTTGATAGTGAGCCATGGAAGAATTATTTTGAACTATTGAAGTATTGTAAATATGATTACAAATTTCGAAGTTGGAGTATAATAAAGGAATGTCATAAAGTTTTCCTCCACCGCTCATGCGTTAAGTTCCGTATCAAAAGTCTTGCAACATGAGCCCATGGCTGTCTATGTAGTGGATGCCTTGATAGAATAGGACTTGTGCTCTCACCAGGAGCCCACGGCAATTTTTTTTTTTGTGTTTGGACCACATAATCGTGGCCAACTTTAATATAAAATCATATTATAATTGTATAAAGACTCTACATAGTAGTATTACATAGTAACATAGAGCCTCTATACAAAAAAAACGCCTTTATGTAGTACAAATATATCTTTCATTCTTAAGAGCTCTTTCGAAAAAAAATCTTAAGAACTTGTATACGGCACTACAAAAAAAATGCCTTTATGGAGTACAAAATACTGATTAGCCAAAAAATGCCACCAAACCTTTGATGCATTATAGTCTCTACTCAAATGTTCCGGTACTAACTACTAAGCATGAAAACCAACTTTTTTTTATTATTTTGGTTTGCCAGATGCAGATATTACTTGTGAAGTTGTGAGTTAATACGTATGATTTTTATGGGTGCCCACCTCTGAGAGCCTGTAATAGTTAGTATGATTTTGGTTTAGCCTATTGGTTGAATTGACTGTATTTACTGAAATTGATGAAAATCTAGCTGAAATAACTAAATAAATTGAATCTGTTGAATTATAAAAAATTATATTTAAAATATATTTTATTAATAAAATAAAAAATATTTATACGAAAATAACTAAAAAGTTACTTTATAGTTAATTCAGCCAATTTAGCCATAAAAGTAACTTCAATCTTATTTATTTTGATTATTATTCCATTCAACGCGAAATCAAATAATTCATGTTTGATCAACAATACTTCTCCCGTCCCATTAAAAATGTCTTATCTTTTCTTTTTCTTTTTCTTTTTCTGTCCTACTAAGATTTGAGACGTCCTCATACCAAATTTGATAAGATTTGTATGATTATAAGCTATTATTACTTTATTTTTATTGTATCAATTCAATATAAATCACTCACATTCATTTTTTTAATAAGTGAACGATATTTTCATGTTTCAATATTAGTGGGATAGAACTACTAATTTATAACTAAATGTCACATACAAGAACATGACGTTTATTACACGTATTAATTGAGGTTGCTACACACTACAAAAGTTGAACTTAATTTGATGTCGTTTAAAAGTTGTCAGAGCCGGCCATGGGGGGTAGGCACCTAGGCAGTGGCCTAGGGCACCACTCCCATGGGGGCACCATTTTTTAGTAAGAAAGCTGTTTTCATATATATCAATATTAATATTAATGTAGTAATATATCAATATATATTATAATTACTATAGAGCAGCTTTAGAGACCGAAGCTCCTATTGATTTATAGAAAAATGGATGAGGGAATAAGCCTACGTTTCCGGTGTGGGACGTGCGAGTAGAATAGCATAAATCCATTTTTGTTCTTATATTGGAATGGAAAAGGCATTCACTTGTATAAAACCGGTGTGGGACGCATTCCATGGGTACGCGGTACTATCATTGCACGCAGTATGTTGATTCCAGTAGTACGTGGTGTTGGAAGAAACCTAGCTCACTTTTGTTTTGACTTATTGACTTATTATAATAATTACTACTATTATTATTATTTCTAATCAATTTCTTTAATTCAATGTTTTATATAGTACGTATCTTATAAGTTTTATTAATATAGGATTTGAAAGATTTGTTCACTATCAATAAGAGATCTGAAAGATGAAATGTGTCGAGACATGACATAAATAGTTGAAAATAATCTAAGATATAAAACACCATGAATGTAAAAAAAAATTGAAATATTGTATAATCGTATTAAACTAATATACTTTTATGAAGAAAACTGTTCAAAAACTAGCAATAAAATTAATAAAAAATTAATTAAATAAATCAAAATTACTGATAATTTAGGTCTTTGATAGATAGTTTTCAATCATCCGGATCTTATATTGACACGCTTTATCTTTTCAAACTCCTTATTATAGTAAATTTATCTTTCAGGTTCATGATTGATAAATTAAATTTCAATTTATTTGTACTGAAATATTACAAAAAATGTAATTTTTGTATGTAATATTACATATACATATAAAATAATATTACCCATTTGGCCATCCTGCCCACGTTCAAACCAGGTAAAGACCGACCTTCAATATAATTTGATATATTTCAAACTTTGATTTCTTCTATTCTTCTGCAATTCACCATTCCGTATCCAAATTAGAAACTGAAATTTGTAAATGACCTTTTCTACATCCAATTTATTAATTATTATTTATAAATTATATTAAACTTGAAAATTTGTGTTATATATATATTTCTTTTAGTTTCTTACAGCTATTCGGTTTTCACATACTTTATATCAATTTTAAGTCACGTATTTCTTTTTACATTTAGTAAAAATGGTTTTATAATTTTCTAATTACTTCATATTTAATTATGTTATTAATTTGAAGTACTATTTGATCTCCTTAGTCATTTTTTGTCTGGGGCATCAAAATTCCTGGAGACGGCCCTGAAAGTTGTTCTCCAAACAGTACACTTATTGCTAATGTCTATATCACATTTGTCAAATTAAAAGTTGTTCTCTAAACAGAACTCTTATTTGCATGTGACGGCCCGCGGACGGTTCACCAATTTCACTACCAAATTTTAATATTCCCTCTGGACCATACCACATGTTCTCCAGATCCTTGGGCATCTTTTCGTACACGTGCGCTTATTTAAATCTCTAAATTCATAAGCTCAGTTTTGGAATGCACTTTTTTATTTAACAAAAGAATGTTGAAGTTTCAGACAGTCAAAAAGGCTGATAAAAGTCGGAGAGAATTTTGCCAAAAAAAAAACAAGTAGGAGAGAATATTCACACTCCGTTAAACGTCTACAAAAACGCCAAAACGGAACATCTTTCATAAGCTGAACCTGGTTAATTACTATTACCAAAAATAGAAGAATATGAATCAATGTGTGAATAAATAGTAACAATAATGATCACACCAATAACAGTAGAACTAGTCTAACTAAAACAAAATACATAGGGTTAACCAATTATTGTAATTCCACAGATACTAAATACAAAATGAGGGGGAGGAAGAGAATCCAATGCTTATTATTTGCCTTGCTCTAACGTTTCATTGTGATGATCTTCCCCACCCACCCACCATTGAACAAAGCTATGTACACATTGGGTGGGTTAAAGGAGCAAGAGATGAGAACAACATTGTTTGCATGCTATCTGAACTGCCTTGCAAAGCGGCCAGGAACCCTAGGGGTAGGCGCCACCAAGTCTCGCCCTTGTTTAATCATTGCTATCCGATCCTCGATCGTCTTGTCAAAAAGCCGACTCTCGGGATTCTCGGCATAGCAAACGTAGTAACAGCTCACACAAGCTTGTGGCACCGCCATCGCAATCCTTGTCTGCCATTTACATGTTTGATTCAATGTATTAGTTCAGCTAGCAAACTGGTTGAGGATTTATACGCTTGTATTAAACCATTGGTTTTACATGCCCACGAGATGATGTCATATTGGTTATACCCTAACAATTAAACCCTACTAGGAGAAAGAACTCAACCCTTCTATATAAACGGGCTTAGATTCAGTTGATAGATGTCCGATGTGTGATTTAAGTCCTCGATAAGCTCGATAGAATTCGCTCAAATGTAGGATTTTAGCTTACACTCGATAATAGGTTCATACTTGAATACTTAGAAGTTTGATCGACACATGGAATAATAATGTTAAAATTATGTAGCTAAGGTTTGTCCAAAAGAGGTAGAAGTAAAAGGAATTACAAATTATATATTTTTTTTTACCCCAGAAGGCCAACCACCAAAATCAGTAGTAGGGTAAATGCCGGGGTCATTTACCAAACTTTATTGAATAATTACTTAAAAGGGAAAATGAAAAAATTATTGGGATAATCAAAAGGAAAGATAATAAAGGAAAGGGGAAAACTGTCAAATCAGTCCACCTACTATTTCGAAAAAGTCAATTGAGTCCACATACTATTTTTTTAATCAATTAAGTCTACCAAGTCCTCAAAAATGACCAAATCTGCCTTTCCTCCGGTAATGGGTCGGTTTCCCTGTTAATCCGCCTACGTGTATCTTCCACATGGCTTTTTTTTCCTTTTCAGCGCTTCTTTTTCCCTTCTTTTAGGCGTCCGTGTGGCATTAGATTATCTTTTTCCCTTTTTTTAAATTCTTTCTTAGTTTCTTCTTCTCCCTTCTCCAATTCCCGCAACTCCTCCCCTTTTTCTTATTTCTCCTCTTTTCTTTCTTTATTCTCTTCTCCTCTTTCTTCCTTCTCCTCCTCTAGCTTTCCATCTTTCTTTCACTATCGAGCTCTGCTGCTGCTACCCGCCGTCGAGCTCTACCACCGCCGTCTTGTTGCGATTGAAGAAGAGCAAGGGTTGCCGGTGGGTTTCCATATTCTCCTTCTCTAGCCATGAAAGAGGGGGGATAGAAGGTCGGGTGAGGTAGAAGAAGTAGAATGGAGAAGAAGAGAAAGGATAAAAGAAAAAAGGGAAAGAAGGTTAGATGGGGGTGAACTACTGGATGGGAAAGAATGAAGGGAGGGGGAGGTCAGGTGGAGCCATGGGGTAGAAGCAGTAGGGAAGAAGAAGAGATAGAAGAAGATGGGAGAAGTTGCAGAGAGAAAATGGGAAAAAGAAAAATACGGAATAAAGCAGGGGGAGTTCGCAGAGACGGAAATGGGGAAGGGGGCTGAGTTGCAAAGACAAGTAGGAGAAAGAAAAGGAAAAAAATAAAAAAAAAAATGGGAAAAACTAAAAAAAACAGTACAAAATATTTAAGTGGCATCCACCTCAGCTCTAGAAGGGTTACCGGTTAGTTAGCCGGTTAAATGATCCAATTGGTGAAAATTTGAGACTTGGTAGACTTAATTGATTGAAAAAATAGTATGTGGACTCAATTGACTTTTTCGAAATAGTAGGTGGACTGATTTGACAGTTTTCCCTAAAGGAAAGTTATAAGGGACGATGAGTATAAATATCTCTATGATTTATAAGTGTTTGATAGGCTTCGGCTCAAACCGAACCAAATACTAGTATAAGTTAGAGCTCAAATTTAAAAGTCACCTTGTGTTCGAGTCTCGAAGTTGAATAGTTCGAAAAAAGAGCAATTCTGTAATTAATGTTAGAAAATGGTAAATAGTGTCAATTCTATTTATATTTTTGAAAATATTTACTCTTTGTTCTATTTCTATATTTTCTTTTTAACTTTTACTTGAGTTTTCATATTTATCTCACTATTTTTTTTCTGTACACGATTGAATTGACTAGTGGAAAGACGAGAAAGACTAACCAAAAGGTACCCAATGTAGGCGGCCAAGAGGGAGAGGGTGGCAGTGAAGTTGCGGTAGACGGCGGCCGTCCAAGCAGCCACCACGATAGCACAGATGGAGCCGCTGCAAATTCCGGTGAGGAAGCAAATAGCACTGGTCATGTCAGAATCCACAATCTGCTCCATCTCCCGCCTCTGGAACAGCTCCCATGTGTCTTGCGATGCTCTCACAAAACTCTTTCCATAAGCAGCAATCTGGGCAAGCTTAAGCAGTTCTTGAAATTGAACTCAAACTTTCAATTTTTTAGGGATCAAACAAAAGTTCTTTATTAGGGAATTCTTAGGCAATGATCACAGTACGAACCTGGGTCAACAGGTTAATTTAGGATGTATTTTTTCGTTTGAACTGAAATTTGCTAGTCTGGTCTGATTTGATTTTGTCCGTTAGAGTCTAGTATGATCTGGTTCGACTTGAACTGGTCTAATCCGGTAAATGTATTGTCTTTGTGTATTTTATAACTATAAAAGTCTGATCTAGTCTATTTAATTCTGATTTGATCTAGTCTGAAACAGTCCAAGGAACATGCTTGAAATTGGTCAAGAGGGATGAACTAATGAAACTACGTCTGAAAAAGTTTAGAAGTGCAATTTCAAAAAAGGAAAGTGTTTAAACGATGATGCTTAAAGACTTAATTGTCATTGACCTTTATTTTCGAGAAAGTATTTAACCTTGGCACCATTTTCCAAGTTATTGTCTGTTTCAACTTTCAACTACTTTACTTTGAAACACAGTCAAACAATTTATGTAGTACTTTTAATACAAAAATTGACTGCTAATGACCCATAAACCATGAAATAGAGGTACCAAACGGGTTTTACAAATTAGTATCAAGTATATATGTGATACATGGGGTAAGACTGCGTACATCCGACCCTTACCCCATCATAGGTATATGATGAGTGAATGAATGGATACAAGTATACACAAACATTTGAGACAGGTCAATGGCAGCAATGGAGCAAGAACATTGGGAAGTCATATACACAACTAGAAAAATCAAGATAGATGTATTATTCAATGTTGAGGTTCCTACAACTTGGGAAGTCACCATCAAGTTCCATCCTAAAAGATCTATTTGATAAAATAAGTAGCATGCCCAAAACCTTTTTTGTTGATTAATACGGAGTAATGTATTATTCAATGCTGAAGTACAAAGAAAAGAACTAGAGAATCAAGAGATGGGAGTACCTGAACATACGCCCAACCATTGCCACGCTTGAAGATGGAGTCCATGAGTTTGAGTCCACAACGAGCACAACAAAACATGAACTCATCTTCCCCCTCCAACAAATTCAAACCACGTGCCACGACTCTAAGAGCCTCAATAGTAGGTACAAACACGGAACCAAGGGAAGCGCTCCCGAGATTGTTAGACAAAGCTCTTTGGAAACAAAACTTGGTACGCGATTGCATTCCCCTAAGGTAATAGAGGGAAACCACTCTACTAACCGCCAAGTTCACCACATTCCTCATCACCTCAGTGATCCAAGCCATGCTCAATACCATTAAAATGATGACCAGTGGGGGGAAGTAGAAGTTTATGGCGCCTACAATGGCCAAAACCCAAAATGACATCCAAACAAACCCCGCTCCAAGCATCCAATAAGTCGGTTCATTCAGGTCTCCAAATTTAGGAACCGGGTCGAGAGCCTTGATCATTATTTTACAGAAATAGCCCGTTCTTGGTGTGACCCAACATGAATACAGCCCGTTCCCAATTGCAAAGAAGATGAAAAGGACGCCTAATCCATCCGTGGACGGTCTTTGGCAACAAATAAGGAGGATCCCGGCTGTTAATGTGAGGATAAAAGAGCTCCAAAGAATGAAATGGACCATGAATTTAGGCCACATTCGGAATCCCTTTTGCCATAAGACAGCAAGGGTTATGCTCAGAAAACTTGCAGCTTCCACTTGAGGAAGGAAATACTTTAAAAGTCTTTCCTCCGTTATCTTGGCTTCCCCTGCTTCTAATAGGCCTTGAACTCCCTTATATACAAGAAACCCCACTAGCCCAATTGCCCCAATCAGATGCACAAGAAACAGAATCAATGAAAACTTGTTTGTGTATGATCTTGAATTCAGTGTAATCGAGGAAGGTTGCTGCTAGTCAAACCAAATGACAAAGAAGAGAAAAAAACCTTTAAGGACCTGTTTGGTAAAAGTTATGTTTACTGTAAGGATATAAGCATCTTGTAACATCAATTTCAGCCAAATGGAGCCAAACAATAAGATCCAGTTACCCAAAAAGCTTAAAAAGTTATCTTTATTATGACTTACTAGGGGGGCAACCGTAACGGTTGGGATGGAACGTGGCTGAGAAGATGGAGGCGGAGAAGTGGATGAAGGGTGAGGCGGCGGTGGCGGCGGAGATGTGAAAGGCGGCTGAGAAAGTGGAGGAGGAGAGGGGCGAGGCGGCTGAGCATGAGAACGCCGTGGCGGCTGTGAAGCAGGAGAAGGCGAGGCAACTCTGACGGCATTGTCCATAACAAGCCTGAGAGGATTGGTAGCACTAAGCCTTTGCATTCTTGCCATGTGGAAATCTTGAGTCGCCGGCGGCGGCTGCTGCGGTGGGCGGTGGTGGGTGTTGCTCCGGTCTTCTCCTTCAAAACCCATCTCCCCTTTCTCCACATCTCTGACTCCATCTCCCCTCTCTGCTTCTTTTTCTTCCTCCTACACAGAACACAGCAAAATCATGCCGTTCTTGATATTAAAAAGATGCAATCTTTGCACATATTATTCAAGAAGAGGAGTACTTACATGTTCTGTGGCACCCATTGCTACGGTGGATGGAGGCGGCGCGTGGAGGATGATGAGTGGTGGAAGGGAGTTTGGATTTTGTTGCTACGTGGTGGCTGATGTTTCAAACATTGCTATCAGCCTTTTACCTCTTACCTCAGAGAAGCACAAACTAAAACGCCTGTGCTCTTCACACGCGCAGGCTGCGCCGCGTGAGGGAGACGGCCCAATGGCAACGTGCACGAAACAGTTTCGAGTTCATTGATGGAGTTGCGTGCTTGGAATTATTAATAAGTTGCGTTACTTGTGGAGAAGGACAAGTCAAATTGAAGATATTTAACTGTCATGATGAACGGTTTAGATGTTGAAATTACCAGGTTAAGATATTGACTCCATGAAATCATGAAGGGAAGTAAAAAAAAAATGTGGGTTTGGCGTGGGACCCGCTTAAACCTCAAGTGTGTGCTGCTTTGCTGGCCGTGTAAGGCACAACTAGAGGAAGGTGGAACATCTTCTGGTCCAAGTCTGTATAGGCGTAATAATGAACATACGCATACAAATCTTATTGGAGTATGACTCACATGAAAATGACATTTTGGTTTTTTATTTTGTTTGATTGAACTATTGAAGTACGTAGTATTTGGTTTGATGGATATACTTAAGACTTGAGGACTATTTGGTATTGCTTATGGTTTATACAAATAATTTTTTTAAGTGATTTTGGAGAAATTAATTGGTATTACTCCCTCCGTCCCTTAAAATTCTTCCAACTTTCCCGTTTGGGCCGTCCCATAAAATTATTCCAACTTACCTTTTTGGAAAAATTGTGTGGCTCACATTTATTAATTTTTTTCTTACACAACTACAATCATAAATTTTCATTTTATTATCACTTCCTAAATTTGCGAGCCAAGTCAAACTTGGAAGAATTTATTGGGAGTTGGGACGAAGGTAGTATTTGTTAAGCTTGATAGACAACACAACCAAAATTGCCCTACTTAAGTAGTAATTTCTTCGTATCATAATAAGTGCTAGGGATGGCAATGGGGCGGGTTTGGGGCGGGGGTACACTCCCCCATCCCCCGCCCCATGTCTAAAAAGTTTCACCCATCCCCGCCCCATCCCCCGTTACTCCCAGACCCGCCTCATCCCCGCCCCACCCCGTTGTCCCCCACATGTGCCCACGATTGCCCTCATATAGATTTAATTTATCGTTTTTGCATATACTTTTAATCTCTTATCATAAATATATGTAGTGTGATTCCAATGAGAATGATGTTTAACGTTGGAACACTCACATTTAATCCAATGTGATACACAATAGAGCCATTCTAGTGCACATTTGGACAGTAGGACTTTGCTCAATACACGCTAATATAAATAATCACGTTGACACTTTTGTAAATATTATGCTAGATACGAAAAAGTGCATTGTGCGAGCCCATTCTGCTTCACATTGGGGGGTAAATGTGGTGTTCGCACGTTCTCACGTTAAGCGTTGTTCTCATTTGATCCTAAACCTATATATATCTACGCGCACAGAGTGATATATGATACACACACGCAACACTGAAGTATTGTGCTTGTTAAAAGTCAATACCGCCAATTGTAATAATTCTTCAATTTGAATAAGTTTGTTGAATTGAAGACAATTAAAGTAAGAATATAAGTAAGCATGTTATCATCATATACATTGTTTCAAAATTTTCAACAATTATAATAATATTAATTACATATTATATTACATATAAATGTGTGTGTATTTATTTACTCACTTGCTCAGTCTTAATACTCATATAACAGATAAATATTTTTAATCATTACTAGCTTATTATTATTCTAGTATAATATGTATTAATTCATTAACCATGATTAAACCGTATACAATTATATATGTATGTCTATATGTAATTATGTATATGTGTTTGTTATATACGATAGTACTACATATAATTTGATTGAATATGTGTGTACAATATTTATAGCTGTGTATATATATGTTTGAGTATATATTTAAAAAAAATGTTTGGGTATATATATATATATATATATATATATATATATATATATAGAGTAGTCTTCTTGTCCAGCCGGCCTGACGGGAACCGCCGTCCGGCCAAGGGCATTTCGGGCACTTCCCGATGGCATTTGTTGATGAAATTTTTTGAGCATGTTCTTCATGAAGTCTAGTTTATCCATACCAAATTTCAGCTCAAAATTCAATCGGGAAGGCATTCAAATAATTTTGTGAAGTTAACTGGGCAGTTTATATGTATGAACTGCCCAGTTAACTTCAAGAAATTATTTGAGTGACTTCCCGATTGAATTTTTAGCTGAAATTTGGTATGGATAAACTAGACTTCATGAAGAACATGCTCAAAAAACTTCATCAAAAAATTCGACTGGGAAGTGCCCGAAATGCCCTCGGCCGGACGGCGGTTCCCGTCAGGCCGGCTGGACATGAAGTTTTCTATATATATATATATATATATATATATATATATATATAGGAAATCTTTCCGGTAAGGTATACCTTACCGGAGCCTCCGTGCGGCCTCCACGTTTTGAGGGCCTTCCCGGTGGAATTTTTCGATGAAATTTTTTGAGCATGTTCGTCATCAAGTCTAGTACATCCATACCAAATTTCAGCAAAAAATTCAACCGGGAAGGCAGTCAAACGATTTTTGGAAGATAACTGCGTTTTATATGTATATAAAGGGTGCAGTTATCTTCCAAAAATCATTTGACTGCCTTCCCGATTGAATTTTTTGCTGAAATTTGGTATGTATGTACTAGACTTGACGAAGAACGTGCTCAAAAAATTTCATCGAAAAATTCCACCGGGAAGGCCCTCAAAACGTGGAGGCCGCACGGAGGCTCCGGTAAGGTATACCTTACCGGAAGAGTTCCCTATATATATATATATATATATATATATATATATATATATATATATATATATATATATATATATATATATAACGGCGACGGGGACGGGGACGGGGCGGGTGTAGCAATACCCGTCCCCCGCCCCATATTTTAACGGCATAAAAATATCTCACCCATCCCCATCCCCGCCCCCGCCCCGCCCCAAGCCCCACCCCATCCTCCTCCCGCGGGGTGGTTCCCCACGGGTCCCTGCCCCCATTGCCATCCTTAATAAGTGCTCACTTTTTTTGCCGGAACAAAATAAGAGGCCGTTTGGCAACACTATTTTTCGGCTTATCAGATTTATCAGCCACCTTTTTCATCCAACACGTAATTGTTGCTTTCGCACGCTGAATTGTGTAATAAGTAGAAAAAGTAAGGTTGAAGTTACTTTTCTGGCTGTATTGGCTAAAGTTACTGTAGATGACCATTTTGGCTAGTTTTACGTATAATTTTTTCTTCCTTTTATTAAAAAAATATATTTTTAAAATATTTTTTACTTAAATCAGCAGAATCATGCAATGCAGCCACTCCAGCCAGAACTTCATAAATTTCAGCAGAATCAGCCAAAACAGCTGATTTTCGTGCTACCAAACGGGCTCTAAGTGTCTCACTTCTATTTAAGGAAATAAATCCACCCCAGAAGCAACTAAAGTACACTTTAATAAAATAAACATTACTGCTACAGTACCAAAACTCTTATACTTTTTCAAAAAGTGTATAATAAACCTGCAAATTATTTTAAACTAAGTTAAAAGCCTACTAGGACGCTTATTTTAATAAGTAAAACACAATAAATCCTTGTATATTTATAAAGCCTACTAGAAGCTAAGGCGTATGAGAGAATGAGTTGGCAATCAATTAAGTTGAACCACTTCCTCCCTTATTTCATTTTATTACTACATTCGTGTATTTTATTTGACTTTTGAATTAGATTTTTTTTTGCCTAAAAAAAATCTAATTCAAAAGTCAAATAAAATACACGATGTAGTAATAAAATGAAATAAGTGAGGAAGTGGTTCAACTTAATTGATTGCCAACTCATTCTCTCATACGCTTTAGCTTCGAAATTCAATGGAGAAAATTTCAACTATTGTTTACCCAAGTTTCCCCTAGTTTTAAGAGGTAAAAAAATGTGACTGAAAAAATCAAGGTTATAAATTGTTTTTGGAGTGATTAAAGGGATGTTTGGATCTGATTCTTAAAACTGCTTCTGGTTCTTGAAGGAGCGGAATCAGAAGTTAGAGTGTTTGGGTGAAAGTGCAGAAGTGATTCTGGTGGTCTAATTTACTTCTAGAATCAGTTTTTTAAAAGCTGGGGGACTAGTTTCTGAAAACTAATTCTCATTCTGCTTCTGCTTTAAAAAAGAAGCAAGTTTCAAACACGCCCAAGTATTACATTTCCCCAAGTATTACATTCCTCTCGTTTACAAATAAGTTGTCATTTTATACCAGATCCTTCCAAGTTCCAACTCCTCTTGAAGGAAAAACATTTTAGATCAAAAAAATCATGAAGTCTATGTATGGCCTTTTATAAGTTGGAACAATTATAATCATTTATTTTTAGTGTGATACTCATTAAAAAAAGTAGTGATGGTGGTGATATCAATTTAGCCCACATGAGTCTAATTTGGTACACGGGCATTCATAAGTTGGATTTTCAATGGGTAATTTTTTTTGAGGGATCAATGGGTCAATTTCTAAAGAGAAGAAATCTAGAGCGCTAAACCGCAAAATGGGATCTATTTCGATTCTGTCAACTTTCCTCGATTTTAGAATGTTTCGATCATTTTTTTTTTTAATTAACAATTTCCGATTTTCATCGATTATGGGTCGGTTTTGACAACAGACCAAAATCGGACTATCCAAACCCAAAGTCCAAACAACCCAGTGCTCCGTCGTAACTTACGCTGTATTTCACCACATTGTAACGCGCGTTGCGCGATTGGGATAATGACCAATGATGTTTGAAGTAACATAGTTATTGATACTAAATCCCTACATTTTTGGGGGGAACATTAATATTTTGGAGTAACATATTTTTTATTCAGGAGCATATGTCATGCACACGTATGGAAAATCATAGTTTTATAGGAATCCAGTGTCAAATATCTCTATATAGTATATAATTAAGTATATTAGACATAGATTAACGGCTAACCAATAATAATTGTTCATGCAAATTACAACATTTTCTTGTTCTAAAGTGTTTTATTATATATGCTCGTATCATATAAGTGATAGCTCTGTAGTGAGTCTCAAATAATTAGTGTAATGAAGTTGACAAATACCTGGGGTATTAGTGCTCATTCAAAATACATTGGTAATCAAGGAAAAAGCTTGTTCAGATTTTTACAAGAACTTTTGAAGTCTATAATAAGCTCAGAAGTGTTGAGGTGTTCTTTTTTAGCTTCATCCATTGCCCAACATTTTGCCACACTTTCTTTGTTAAATCACTTTTAAAAAAAGATGCGATCTACTGAATCCATACGAGACTATACATTAGATTATCACAAGTAGGTAATCTAGAAGATATTTTGGGAGGATTCGAGCTCTTTCATATATATCATATTCATCGAAGGTTTGCTAGCTATGATGATTGGTTATCAAAATGTTATAACCTTCCCATAAATCAATCTCCCATATACACAACAGGACACAAGACCATTTCTAATTTTAAGCAGTCTCCTAAACAAAATGAACAACAAAGCAACAAGGCAAAGAAGACAATAACGGTGCGCCCATTTCTGCATTGAGAAGCTTTGATACGAAAATCAACAAATTGCGAAATTGAAAATTTACATCAAATTTACATCAAATTAAATTATGGATTTTACAGGAATATAATCATTTTATACGAAAATGCACTACGAACGTTATGTTGTTTTTACCTACGACTCTACAAGTATTATTACCGTAATCTTTGCACCATTTCATTTATTTTGCTCGCGCGGTATGGAGAGAATGTGCAATGTTGAATTGTTTCATACAGCATTTCACAGATAGAATGGACATTTAGGCATCCCATGTTGATGCTTTGACAAAGCAGTTTTAGA